TACCCCCGGGTTCAAACCATTTACTGCAGTAGTTATTTTATTATGTTATCTTGTATACAGGGACCTAATCACACTCATTCTGGGGATGGCCACGACAAGCTAATGGGTTTCATGAATAGCACTTTTCCTTTAGCTGTTTACGGCTTGCAAGATGCCTTTAGTGGATACATTTTGTATCTGAAATTATGGACCACAAACTCTGACCCTAAGCTTATTGGTCGTTGGTACATGGATCATCTGTACAAAACGTAGGTCAATGGGTTAATGGCATTTTTCTTTTAAAGATTCCTTTGGTTTTGGAGTACCATCTTCATCAATAGTGAGTTCAGCAGCCAGCTCAATTCAACCAAAAATTCAACCAAAAAACTTGAACGTGATTATCTCAGATAACCTGAATGTACCTTGATGAATATTAACAGCAACTTTACAAGAATGTGTTGTATAAACAAAAGTTATCTTCCTTGCTTGTCAGTGCATTTGTTAGCAATCAAAGGTGATTCAATACAAGTCTTCTACCTACCAGGCATAAGGTGTTTTTCAGTATTTCACTCCCTTGAGTGAGTATGCTCATTGTTTTCTGACTCCTTCCCAGTCTAGATATGGTCTACAATATATACTGGGACGAAGCAAGAAAAAGTCATTGTAGTAAAAGTCCAGACTGATTGTGTAGACTGATCGTCTTGGTGAAAGCAGCCCAGAAATTACTGAAGCAAATGTCATTTTCATTATAATGGGAGGAGTTGTTTGTCAATTTGAGATGATTGCTTTCACCCAGATGATCAGGCTACTCGACAGTTACACCTGTCAACAAGCTGCTCGCTGTACTTCCGGAAATTCACTCTTTTCCATTCCTTCTCAGTGTCATTCTTAAAGGTGTATGAAAACTCAAATTTTCCTGAAGCACTAAGCATATTTCATATTCTGTATGAAATTGTTCTTCCCCTGAAGTCTTATACTTGATTCTTAGGAGTTTTAAAATTAACTTTATCAAACCCACCATGTCCAAACATGCAAAATGTAAGAGTTGTTTTTAACAAACTTACTCTTCAATTTTAGGCTATTTCCTTGCTATTGTTTGCAGTCTTCTAAAACACGAATACAAAAAACGATCTCAGTTGAAACCACTCTTCTGGGATAACACCATTCAGCTGCCTTTGGAAGATGTTTACACAAGATTAAAAATTTTGTCGAGGAGGAAGCGAGACTTCCAGCTGGAAAACAATGAAGTGAGCATGTTTGAAGTTTTCAAAAAATGGAAACGATACCATTGTGCTTGTAGAGGGGAGTCCAGGAATGGGTAAGACAACTTTTTGCCTTAAAATTGCTCATGATTGGGCTATTAAGGTAATTTCAAAGGTGGATTCCTTTCCTGAATTTGAAGTAGTTTTACTGCTTAAATGCCGGGACATTCATGGAGACATAAAAGAAGCCATTGATGAACAACTTTTACCGAAATGTACTTCAGAAGCTATCAAGAGAGAGCTTTTTGATTATATGGAAGATTTCCATAACCAAAAAAAAGTTTTGATTATTCTGGATGGTCTCAATGAGTTACCCAAGATATTAGAAAGTGATGTGAATAGCTTGCTTAAAAAACAGATTTTTCCATTTTGCCATATCTTAGCCACCAGTCGCCAGGAAAGAGGAATTGTTGTGCGAAAAAAGGTGGACTTTGATCTTCTTTTACAAATTGAAGGCTTTACAGAAGAAGATGCTTTTGATTATATAAGAATGCATTTTAAGAATGCTGGTCCTTAGCATGTGTTGAGAGGAGAGAGACTCATTGCTGAAATCAGAGAAAACACTTTCCTTGATGGGCTGTGGAACAATCCATTGAATTTGTTACTCCTTTGCATTGTGTTTGAGGACTACAAAGGAGGACTGCCATCTTATCGCACTGAACTTTACCAGATAATTGTTTGTTGCATTCTACGAAGATATTGTGCCAAGCATGATCAAGAGGCTTCTGTTGATGACAAAGCTCTAGTGGGGCTCTTTAAAGATAGTTTGCTAGTTCTTGGAGAGTTAGCTTGGAGATGCTTGGAAGAAGATCGATTTTCTTTTCGTGAAGAGGAGTTGGCAGAATTTGAATCTGCAAATACGAATCTAGCAGCCCGGAAACTTGGTCTTGTGTTTAAGGAAGCCAGCTTGAGGAAGATAAACCCACAGCATGAGTATTTCTTCTTTCACAAGACATTTCAAGAGTATCTGGCTGCATTTTATGTAGCTAACAAGCTATTGATAAAAGAGGTTGATTTTTCTGAGTCGCATTTAGACTATTACAACGATATTACAGTGAGGTACAGACAAGTGTTCATCTCTATGTCTGGCATACTGGGTGAGGATGCTGGTCTTCTTTTTGAACAGACTAGCAAGAAGCTAAAGGAAGAAAACTGGGACTGGCACCTGTGTTCAAAGCAAGAGGCCACTTGTTTTGAAGAATATTTCAAAGAGAGCCGAAATGATGAACAAGTGGCAATGGCTCTTTGTTCTTATATTCCGCTTCCCCAGACCATGACCCTTGACTTATCACAGCAAAAAACCAGCACAGCTGTTTTCATTATTTTAAAAGCCTGTAGGAGTTTTTCACAGTTACAATTTCCTGTTCATCTAGTACCAGAGTGTTCTGGTGAGAACATTGATATCAACCTAGATGGTGACACACTAGCTGATGTCATAGCATCCAACACACAGCTACAAACACTTTCCTTTTCTGGTGATCTTTCAGAAGAGAAGACTACAACTCTTTTGTGTAAAGCACTCACTGTTGACTCTACTTTACATTCCTTTACACTTGAGACAGCTGAAGGGATTTCTTCCAGTGATGTTGTTACTATCAGTGACAGCTTGGCTACAAATAAAACCCTAACAACTGTAACTTTAAAAATGTCTTGTGAGATTTTAAAGAGTTGGGTAGGCCTACTTGACAAGGGACTATCTGCAGATACACCACTTGCATCTGTTGTACTGGAGATTTTTGGTTCATGGAGGGACACTGAAGCAGAAGATTTTAAAAAGATTTTTTTGAACAGATCACTTACATCTCTGAGCCTTACTCTTTTCGGTGACTGGCAAGATTCATTAATGGCTTCTGTTAGTGAGGGACTTCTGGCTAATCCTTCAGTGAAGTCCCTTGCACTAACATTTTGTGGAAAACTCAGCTACACTGGTGTGGCTTTGTTAAAGAAAGGCTTTCTGGAAAACAGGTCTTTGGAATCTCTGGAATTTAAATGGTTTGGTGAGCTTCCTACAAACTGGGCAAATATTTCTAGGACTCTACATTCTGCAGTAAAGTCAACTACGTCCTTTACATTGCATCCAAATGTTACTGGCATGGTAGGAACTTCACAGGTGGCTTGCCTTCGCCTAGTTCTGAGTGAAAACATTTTAGCCTCAAAACTCCACTCATTGGCTGTCAACATGTTGGGAGAGTTAGACTGGAGTGGAGCAAATGATCTTTGCAACGGACTGATAGCCTCATCAGTTTCTTGTGTCACTTTGAATTTTAAGGAAAGAGTAACTGATAATGTTGCTAACTGTCTTTTTAAGCACTTGAACAAACTCAAAACCCTTTCAAAGTTGACTATTAGTATTCAGGGGGAGCTGATGGGGGACGGAAAGAACACTCTGGAAAGGCTATCACGCAACCAAACATACCTATTTGCATCAAATGTTAATGACTCAAATGAAGGCGACAAGATTTGCAGAGAAGTTGGTTTATCTGCTAACGATTCCTCGTCACTTACACCTGTATTTACCAAAGTCAAGAATGGCTGTGTAGCAAAGCTCAGTGTGAGCGTTAACAACCCTGACAGCATCAGTGGAGACTGGGGATCCACTCTCTGTGAGGGTTTGGCAAAAAGTGAGTCTTTAACTACATTGAGTCTGACATTTAACAACAGTTCCTTTATTAAAAACATGGATGCTCTGTGGGATGCTGCGGCAAAAAACAGGTCATTAACTACACTGAGCCTTACACTCAACAGCTACAATAAGTATGTGAGGAGCGAACCCATAACCTGTGGTCTGAGTAATGGTTTGGCAAAAAACTCGTCATTAACTACACTGAGCCTTACCTTAAACAGCTGCTGGGTATGGGAGAATATGGTGGACGATGATCTGAGTAACGGTTTGGCAGAAAACACATCACTAACTACACTGATTCTTACATTGAACATCCAGAGTGACTGGAATATTGAAAATCCCCTGATGTATTATCTGAGTGACGGGTTGGCAAAGAACACGTCACTAACTACACTGAGCCTTACACTCAACAACTACGGTGACTTTACGGGATGCATGCTCTCTGGTCGGAATGACAAGTTGACAAAAAGGATGTCATTAACTACACTGAGCCTTACACTCAACAACTACAGTGACTTTGAGGGATGCATGATCTCTGGTCTGAGTGAAGGGTTGACAAAAAACATGTCATTAACTACACTGAGCCTTGCAGTCAACAACTACAGTAACTTTAAGGGACGCATGGTCAGTGGTCGGAGTGACTGGTTGGCAAAAAACAAGTCATTAACTACACTGAGCCTTGCAGTCAACAACTGCAGTGACTTTAAGGGATACATGATCAGTGGTCGGAGTGACTGGTTGGCAAAAAACAAGTCATTAACTACACTGAGCCTTGCAGTCAACAACTACAGTAACTTTAAGGGATACATGATCAGTGGTCTGAGTGACTGGTTGACAAAAAGCGTGTCATTAACTACACTGAGCCTTGCAATCAACAACTACTCTTCCTTTGATGGAGACCTGACCGATGGTCTAATCGATGGTTTGGCGAATTTCAAGTCATTAACCACCCTTAGTCTTACACTGAAGAACCACAGTTACAGGCCTAATTCATGTTTCGGTGCTCTGATGAATGGTTTGGTCAGAAATACATCAATAGTTACCTTGAACTTG